GGGGAGATAGAGCCCGAGTTGGGGTGGGACTCAAAGACCCCTTCCCAGTCTGTTTCAGAAAGTTGCAATCTTGTGTAGTCCCCACTTGGACAACCACAGCTGCTATGAGTTCCTGAGTGTAGGGATTCAGGCATGCCGAGAAAGTGTGTGCTTTGGTCCTCCCCCACTCTTGGGTCTTAATCTTTTTATCGGCTTTTCTAAAATGGTCCCTGGGCCTTCGGGTGGTGGCAGTGGTGATGCAGATGTCCCATCCATGGCTGAATGTTCCACAGGCACATATTCAGGCACTGTGAACAGTGGTTTCTTGTTAACCACCGTCCACTGCAGTTTCTGATGAAGTCTGTGAACTGCACTAATCTGAGACCAGAGAGAGGAATTTAGAGGGCAGTTTGACTATAGTAAAATAGTAGCTGGTTTTGGCCACATTTGTAGCAACCAGGTGAGTTCCACCTCCTGTGGAGCAAGCCTTAAATCCAACCAGGAAGTGTTTGATGACCCCCCTAACATTCAAGCTACCATTGCACCCATGGGCATATTCTGCCATGCAGGGTATTATTAGAGTTCACAGGGGTCACAGCTGGGTAAAACTGCTGATGATCTCTGCTCTTCAGAAGCCTGCATAGCACCTTCTAGTACATGGAGTGCTAGCCTGGTCAGTACCAACTTGATTCTTCCATATTCTGTGATGAGTATGTGTAGCATCTTCAGCAATAAGAGTTTTACTGTCAAGTTCTGATGGGCAAACAAGAGCAAGGACAATAGTCTGTATTGAGCCTGGGGTCTCCAGGACACCTCTGGCCAACAACTTGAGGTGAGGTATCACAACCTGGCATTGGGCCGTTTCTTAACCCATGGCTTATCAGATGAGCACAATCCACTGTGTAGAGAAATTCCAATGAAAACTTTAAAGTGAATCCTCACTTTCCTAGTCTCTGTCATTTGATGCTTCTTCAAGTAGTTAGGAAACTTCAAGGTGTATCCTGCTTCCACTGAGTGCCTACAGCCCACCAACAGGAAGAACAAGAAGCTGTAGTAATTGTCCCCCATAGCTGTCAGTATCTCAGGTTTATCCTGTAGGTGAGGCAGGACATAAATATGACATGTCTATTGGTGAAAGACGGACCCTTAGTAGCCTCATTTGTTCTGTTCATCCAGATGTAGGTTTTATACTGAAGACTGAACCTGTGGTCTTGGCATGCCAGGCAAGCACTGGCATGATTTAAGGTTACAAAATGGTATGAATTAAGTTTACAAAGCAGTTCTTTAAACTTGACACTGGTTAGCAGTTTGCTTTCCCAAGTAGGGAAACCAAATCAGCAACATGATATTGGATTGCCCAAGATAAACATTACTTACTCAGGACTACTGAAGGCTCTTAAAGGTCACTGGCCAGGTTCTACAATTTGCCACCGTTTTTGAAAGGGACTGAAAGTAGCAACAGCCATAGAGAATGACATTTTAGACAAGAATCCACTTGACTGTTAGCAGAATAGAGTTTAAGTGTGTAGAGTGAGACCTCACCTGGATTAGATTGCCTTTGAGGTACCTACTGAATTTTTAGGATTCTCCCTACAGTGAGTGGCCAGTAATGGTGAGTCTTAAGTGACTGGAACAATTAGGCACCTTTCCAAGGTCCCTACATGCCTATGACATTGAGGAAGATTTAAATAAACAGTCAAATGACATAAAAGAG